TCAAGAAAGCAAAAAGATAATCCACAGAATGGGAGAAAGTATTTGCAAATTATATGTCTGATAAGGGTCTAGTATCCAGAATATATATGTTTTAAGAAAACTCTTATAGCGCAATAATTATAAGACAACCCAATTTTTAAAAGGGTAAATTTCTGAGCAGACATTTGTCCATAGATATACAAATGGCTAATAAGCACATGAAATGATGCAAGTCAACCATAATGAGATACCACTTGACGCCTACTTAGAACGGGCTATATAATAAAAAAAAAACAGACAACAAGTGCAGGCAAGGATATGGAAAAATTTGAACCCTCATATATTGCTGGTGGAAATATAAAATGGCACAGCCACTTTGGACAATAGTCGGGCAGTTTCTCAAAAAATTGAACACTGAGCTACCATATCACCCAGCAATTCCCCAAGAGAAATGAAAACATATGTCCACACAAAAACTTTTAAACAAATGTTTATAGCAACATTATTTATAACAGCCAAAAAGTGGAAACAACCCAAATGTTCATCAATGGACAAGTGGGTAAACAAAATGTGGCCTATTCATACAATGAAATAATATTCAGCCATAAAAAGGAATATAGCACATGCTATATCATGGATGGACACTGAAAACATCATGCCTGGTGACAAAAGACTACATATTTACATGAAATGTCCAGACTAGGCAAATTCATGGAGACAGAAAGTAAAATACTGGTTGCCAGAGGCTGAGGAGTGGAGGGAATGGGTGGGGGGTGGGGGATGGGTGACAACTAATGGGCACAGAGTATGTTGGAGGGGTGATGAGAACGTTCTAAAATTGATTGGGGTGATGGTTGTACAACTTTATGAATATACTAAAATCTATCCAATTATGCACTTTAAATGAGTGAATTCTATGGTGTGTGACATCCCTCCATAAAGCTGCTATAAAAAATATGAAATAGGGCCGGCCGAGCAGCTCAATTGGTTAAGAGCATGAGCTCTGAGCAACAGGGTCACCGGTTCAAGTCCCACATGGGCCAGTGAGCTGTGCCCAAGCTGAGTTGCCAACAGGTGGCAGGATTGCTCAGTGGTTAGAGCGTGCACTCTTAGCAACAAGGTTGCCAGTTCAACTCCCACAAGGGAGGGTGGGCTGTGCCCACCCGCAACTAAGATTGAACACGGCACCTTGAGCTGAGCGGCCACGAGCTGCCAATGGGCGGCCGGATGCCGACTGGACTTTGAGCTGAGCTAGCTGCACCCCGCACAACTGAAATTGAAGGACAACAACTTGGCTGTTCCCCTTCCCCAATTTCCCAATAAAATCTTAAAAAAAAAAAAAGAAATATTTAGGGATAAACCTGACAAAAAATATGAAAGACCTGTATATTGAAAACTAGAGAATATTGGTGAAAGAAATGTGAAAAATGCTAAATAAGATACATACCACATGACCTAGNAGAACAAAACGACAGCAACTTGTCTGTTCCCCTTCCCCCAATTCCCCAGCGCTGTTCCCATCCCCCCAGTTCCCCAATAAAAATATTTAAAAAAAGAAAATCCATTTGGCTCGGGCTGGCCAAGTGGCTCAGTTTGTTAAGAGCGTGAGCTCTGGGCAACAGGGTGGCCAGTTTGATTCCCACATGGGCCACTGAGCTGCACCCAAGCTGAGCTGCCGCTGAGCTGCCAACAGGTGGCAGGATGGCAGGATGGCTCAGCTGGTGAGAGCACATGCTCCTAACAACAAGGATGCCAGCTCAACTCCCTCATGGGATGGTGGGCTACACCCACCCGCAACTAAGATTGAACACGGCACCTTTACTGAGCGGCTGCAAGCTGCCAAGCTGCCGATAGGTGGCCGGATGGCAACTGGACTTGGAGCTGAGCTGGCTGCTGCCCCCACAACTAAGATTGAAGGATAACAACTTGGCTGTTCCCCTTCCCCACTTCCCCAACACTGTTCCCCTTCCCCAATTCCCCAATAAAATCTTTAAAAAGAAAAAAAGTCCATTTGGCTCAACCAATTGATGATGGAATTCCAGTGCTCGATTTAAAAGCTCTGGTCGGGCCTCGAGTGACACATTGGTTAAGAGTCGGCTTGGGATGCCAGCTGTGAGCAGCAGGGCCCCGGTTCGGATCCCACATGTGGGCCAGTGACGCTGCGCCCTCTACAGCTAAGATGGTGAACAACAGTTCAACCTGGAGCTGGGCTGCCCTGAGTTGCCGGCAATGGCGTAGGCTGCAGCCCCTGCTGCCGTGGGCTGCCATAAGCTACCGTGAGCGGCCAGTAGCTGGTGTGAGCTGCCGTGGGCCACCATGAGCGACCGTCCAATGGCCGGCGACCGATCTGCCTCAGCCGGGAAGAGCGCAATGATAATACCAACACGGGCCAGTGAAGCAACGTCCTCCACAACTAGACTGAAGAACAAAAGAACAGCCACTTGTCTGTTCCCCTTCCCTGATTCCCCAACGCTGTTCCCCTTCCCCAATTCCCCAATAACATCTTTAAAATAAATAAATAAAAGCTCTGGCCAAGGGGATCCGTCAAACATGCCAATGGCCAATTCCCACATCTGAGCATGATGGAGCAACAGGGACCAGATGTAACCTCCCGCCTGAAACAACCAAAAATCCAGACACAATACATGAAACAATGGGTTTCAAGACACTGGACATCAGAAAACAAAAGACAGCAATATCCAAGAGACAGTAAAGGGACAAGGTGAGCCCCATGGTTTAAGCCTCCAGGACATGGCATAGGGAGGGGGCCCAGCCGAGTTCAGCAGGCTACCTGGCTGAGGAGAGGGGCTGAGTCTGGGGAGACCGAGGCAGCCAGAGTTCCTGGGACAAAAAAACAGACAGAAGACAGCTGCATAGAGAACCCCGGACATCTGATCAGTGCATGTGTGTGAGGAAACTACCCAGGAGGATCAGAGGGGACGGTGCTCACATACGGCCTGTTTCCAGAAGCCAGCCTGGAGAAAACACATAATTCCTGGGGCGTTGGGTAATCATGAAGGAAAGTCATCCCTCAGTAGTTGAGAATAATGATCCTAGGCTGGGCACAGCTCCAGATCTGCCCAACAAATCTTAAGCAGAAGACCCAAAAAGATCAAACTGTCTCTTACCTGCAGAACATGCTCAAAAATATTTCTAGGAATACAAAAATATCTAGAGCCCAACAAGGTTAAGTTCAAAATGTCTGGGAATTCAAACAAAAATAACCAGGCATGTGAAGAAGCAATAAAATACAAGCTATAAAGAGAAAATAATCAGTCAATGGAAACCGGCCAAGAGCTGACACAGATGTCCGAATTAGAAGAGAACAGTAACACAACTACTATAACTATATTCCATGTGTTCAGAAAGTTAAGAAGCAATATGGAAGATATAAAAAAGGGCCGAAGTCAAATCTGTAGAAATGCAAATACAATACAAGAGACAAAAATACACTGAGTTGGGGCCGGCCGAGTGGCGCGTTGGTTAGGAGTTGGCTTGGGACGCCAGCTCTGAGCAGCAGGGCCCTGGTTCAGATCCCACATGAGGGCCAGTGACATTGTGCCCTCTACAGCTAAGATGGGGAACAACAGCTCAACCTGGAGCTAGGCTGCCGTGAGTCGCCGGCGACGGCATAGGCTGCTGTAAGCTACCATGTGTGGCTGGCAGCCAGTGTGAGCGGCCAGCAGCTGGTGTGAGCTGCCAAGAGCTGCTGTGAGTGGCCGTCCAATGGCCGGTGAGCGACTTCCTCACCCAGGAAGAGCACAATGATCACAATACCAACATGGGCCAGTGATGCGATGTCCTCCACAACTAGACTGAAGAACAAAATGACAGCAACTTGTCTGTTCCCCTTCCCCTGATTCCCCAGCGCTGTTCCCTTCCCCCAATTCCCCAATAAAATCTTAAAAAAAAAATACACTGAGTTGGAATAATGATTGATTATAGACATTGTAGAATCTTTTATTAGAGAATTTGAAAACATAGGAATGGAAACTATTCAAAATGAAAAGAGCACCAATGAGCTGTGGGGCAACTTCAAGCAGCCTAAAATATGTGTAATTAAAGTCTCCAGAAGCGAAGGAGAAAGGAATGGACAGGAAAATTATCTGAAGAAATAATAGTTAAAAATTCTCAAAAAAAATAATTCTCACAGCTTGATGAAGATTATAAATCCACAAATCCAAGAAACTCAATGAGCTCTAGCAGAAAAACAATTTAGAACTACACCATGGCACATCATCATTAAATCGCTCAAAACCAATGAAAATAGAAAATCCTGGAAAACAACCAGAGAAAAAAGACACACAACAGGGCCGGCCGAGTGGCTCAGTTGGTTAAGAGCTGGCTTGGGACGCCAGAGGGCCCCGGTTCGGATCCCACATATGAGGNCCCAGGTTTGGGGCTGTGGATCTCTGGACTCATGAAAAATGGGGCTTTGGTCCACAGCCATCAGGACACAGCAGTGGCCCTGCATGCTGGTCATCAGAACCACGAAGGGGTCTGTGCATGACTGAGTGGACCATGTGCCAACTGCTAAACCTGAAGCGGCTCGCACCCTGTACCCACCGGCCTTTGGGTTGGGTCACCCTCTGTGGAGGTGTCCTATGTGCTGTAGGACCTTTAGCAGCATCCCAGGGTGCTACCCACTAGATGCAGTAGCATCACCCTTACCTGTGGTGGTGATAACCAAAAATGTCTCCAGGCATTGCCAAATGTCTGGGGACCCAGGGTTGCACCTGGTGAGAAGCCCTGTGGGACACCATGCTCTCCTGAGGGTTAACGGGACAAATAATCCTCTGCCGCCTCCTCCATTGAGTAGCAGAAAAGCACTGGGAATGGGCTAGGCTCCTCACCAGTCATGCGGTACCTGCTGGGGCACCTCCCAGCCATAGTGGGAGGCATCTCGGATCATGCCCCCCAGCAGAGCTGCCTGGTGCATCAGCTTCTTGGGGATGCAGCCGACATTCACACAGGTGCCACCGAGGCCCCACCTGGTGCCTGGCAAGTTGGGAAGAGCACAGTTAGATTTATATTCTGGTGACTCTGAAGGCTTTCCTGTTCTTCTACATTGTTTAGAATTCCTTGAAGTTGTGGTTTATAACCCAAACATGGCCCACATGACACTGCCTCACGGATTTGCTCTGTGTAATTGTGTTCAGAGTCATTTTTAAATGAGAAGAACAAGGAAGTTTAACGTAATGGCAGTTTACGAGAGAAACAGGACATGCTGTGGAGACTTAGGACAGATTGGTTCTGGGCTCAGCTGCCCTCTGTACCATGAAATGCAGCCCCACCCCACCACCTTCCCCAGGATACAAGGCTTCCATCATTGGGGGCTGCCTACCTCGGGGGGAAGGCTCCACATAGTCTACCACGGCCACCTTCTTTCCCAGCTGAGCGGCTGGAATGACAAGAGAAGAGGACAAGTGGGTACAACCAGGGACCTGCTTCGAAGCTGGGGATGGGAACTCCAGGGAGCCATGAGGCCTAGAAAAGGGCAAGAAGGACCTGGGCAGGCTCTGCAGCTAGGTCTCCCCTTGCCTGCTGCCACCCAGCTGTGCTGCCCACAGATAGGAACCCTCTTCTTAGACCACAGCCTTTGCACCACCCGCCACAGCAGCACTGGGCCCAGCCCTCCCTTGCCTCCCGCCCCACCTGGATCTAGACCCAGACATTCAGCGTAGGCCCAGTGCCCACCTCAAGCATGCTAGGAGGCATCGCAGGAGTGCCCGCTCCCCAGGAGAGGCCCTAGGCTTGGAGGCCCCCTTGCTCTCTCCCCAGGCCTTCCCAATGGACTTGCTGCCTCCTCTCCTCCTCACCAGACTCTACGTGGGGCCTCCACCCTTGGTCTACCCTCATCAGGGCCCCCCAGGTGTGCCTTTGCTGCCTCGCTCTCAGGGTGAGGACATTGAAGCTCTGGAGAAGTGAAACAGCAGGGCCAAGGCCAGCCACCCCCCAGAGGGGGAGAGAGACCCAGGCTCCAAACCACACCTCCTGCCTGGAGCCTCCTGGCCTCCCCGCAGCTGTCAGCAGATTCCCCTGGGCCAGCAGTCCCAGGTTCTGAGGCCGACCTTGACATGTTAGCCAGGGCTAATCACAGGGCTTCCCCTTGGCACTGCAATGGCCAAATCCAGGCTCTGGACTTGACTGTCTCAGAGGGCATGCCAGACTTAAATGCTGTAAACCTGTGAGTGCTCCGAACACTACGGAACACACTTGATTCATGGCTATCAATTAGAACAAAGTTTTAGACTTCATTTAAAAATCTATTTGGGGGGCTGGCCGAATGGCGCAATGGTTAAGAACTGGCTTGGGACGCTAGAGGGCCCAGGTTCGGATTCCACATATGAGGGCCAGTGACACTGCTCTCTACTGCTAAGATGCTGAACAACAGCTCAACCTGGAGCTGGGCTACCGTGTGTAGCCAGCAGCTGCTGTGAGCGGCCGTCCAGAAGCCGGGGACTGATCTGGCCCGGGAAGAGCGCAATGATGGTGCCAACTTGGGCCAGTGAAGCAACGTCCTCCACAACTAGACTGAAGAACAAAACGACAGCAACTTGTCNTGAAAAATTACAAGCAGCTTCAGAAGAATCTGTCCTGTCAATTCAGTAACGCTTATTACTGAGAACAGCACCAAGGTCCACGGAACCCTCGAGGCTCACCTCTTTCCCACCTTTTGTGACACCGCAAACCATGTGTTCATTGACAAAGCTGGCCTTGATGTTAAAGTATTTGACTTTTCTGCAAAAGAAATAGAATTTTCAAACACTTCCTATACAAATTAAGTGTCACTGATGGGATTAAATAACGAGAACCATGCAGACTGTGAGCTCGGGCCCACAGCCCACCATCCACCCTCAAAAGCTCAGGTGGTAAAGAAGGGAGTGGAGACTGTGCTGGAAAGCATGTGGGGGTGGAGGGGGGGGGCAGCGTGCTGTCTCTCCTGGGGGTTCCCTGGGATATGGTAACCACAGCTGCCAGGCGGGGACAGATGCCAGGTCTGTGCAGTCCTGAGAGCCCAAGTATAGTCCTAGTGTGTGATAACAAAAGTGGCTGGGCCTTCCCTGGGGTCAGTCCTTGTCACCTAAGCACGTTCCATCAGGAAGAGGCCCCCATTTGCATATGGTTACCCTGAAACACCCAAACCACTGACTTCCCACTGGCAAAGGAGGGTACCCAGCAGGTAGGCATCAGTCCAGCCTTTAGGGGACAGTGAGGCCAGAGATCAGGTATGACAAAGGACACAAGGGTGGTTTGACATATGGTATGGAGAAGAAATCCACCCTTTCTAATCACAAAGGTGGCTCTGCAGGGGTGGGTGCTCGGCAACTTTAAGTCTTCACTGCCACCTTAACCTTGTGTTCTCCCCACTGACGAGCCCTCTGTCTCCATGTCCTGCCTGAAACTCCTGCAGAAGTCCTCACTCATCCTACAACCTGCTAACAGCTGCACGACAAAGGCACACCACATCGGCCTCCTTCTGTGGGTGGCTCTAGGGCTGGCCTGGGGTCTGGACTATTTGGTGCCCACCCAGGGTTGGGCAGGATGAATGGCAGAGCCTGATGCCTCCAGCAAATTGCACTGGGGCACACTGAGCCCTATTCAGAGGAGGTATGATATGATGTGGCTTAGCTCCCTGGGGAACCTCTGGGGAAGTTGGGGTGGCAGCCTCCTGGCTTAACTTTCTTGGGATAGGGGGCACAAAACAACTGCCTACTATACAGCCCAGGAAGACCCTTCGGGGACAAGCTTAGGGTGCTCAGATGAGGGCCACCAGACCTCTGAGGGACCAGTGTCCCTTCCACAACCTGAGTGGGCACAGGGCAGAACTACCAAGCAAGGAGCAAAGCTTAGCCTGAGTCAAGTACAGTTTCAGGCACCTTTTCTGATAGCCATCCTTAGGCAGCATGCTTCAGTGGGACGAAGTGTTGACATCTGGGCTGGGGGACCCCAAAGGGCTGATGGGACCTGATGGTCTCAGGCTGGAGTGATCACGTCACACATTTGCTCCAGCAAACAACGCCAGGCCCTTTTACTATGCCCAGGGAGTCAGAAGCATTAAGACGAGGTGTGGGGATCACAGTGTAGGAAGTGACAGGTGAGGTGTGGGGTTCATGGTGTGGGAACTGGGAGGCATGAGATAAGGTGTGGGGTTCATGCTGTGGGAACTGGGAGGTGAGGTGTGGGTTTCACAGGACAGTGCCTGAGCCCCCAGTTTGCACCAGCCAGGCAGGACTCACTTGGCTTTTTCCATATAACTGTGGTTGGCCCTAGCAGGAGAAAGGCTGCCAGCTCGAGGAAGGAACTGTCCACCGGGATGGCCCTCGCCATGCCCCCACATCTGGCCCGTGTACTCTCAGCCCCGAGCACACCTGCTCCCTGATATGTCCAGGCTCCAACCACTCTGCCAGCATGCCTCTCGCTCCTCACTGCTCCGGGCTCTGCAGGTGCCAGCCCGCCTGGTGGTCTTCCACTCCCAGGGCACTCGCCCCATCCGCTGCTTGTCTGCATGCCCCACCCCATGAGTAAGGGCTTGTCAAAGTATGAAATGACCCAGAGAAGGCCGGGGGGGCCGGGCAAGGCTTCAGTACCTGTCCTGCAGCTGCACCCGGTGCCCCCAGTTCAGGGACTTCACATGGTTTTGAACGGCTTCTGCCATCTTCTTCCTGTTAATGCACAAAACATTAAAAACCACAAGAGCATTAGCTATAGAGTCCCACAAGATTGTTAGATGCAAATCGTGTGTTAAGAGAAACAACAAGGGCNGGGGAGGGCAGGCGCTGCTCTGGGGGTTATCTTGGGGTACCTGTGCATTCCATGCCCTGGGGTGCCTCACAGTCTCCCCCTCCCCACCTAAGCCAGGCACAGATGCAGGACTAACCCGGAAAGATCTGTCTGGCCTTTGTGTTCTGAATCAGGGCAGTACATAAGTTTGCCCATTTATACATGCGGTCAGCCTTCATTCTCCAGCCCACCATTTTGGCCAATGACCTTGACACGCTTCTTCCCACAGCTGCCACTTCTGCGAAGGAGCCTTCACCCGGTCCTTGCTCAGGCCCCTCAACACACTCCCTATGGGGAGTTGTCCAAGAGCAGGGTCGGGAGGTCGGTCATTACCCAGGCACTTGGGGTGGTGGGAAGCACGTCCTCATGCGTGGGACTGGCCACACCGCCATGGTAGATGTGGTGGCACTGTGGCCAGCTCTGGGAGAGACTGTCCTGCAGGGTTGGGTTCCAACCCTCTCAAGTGACTAGCCCCTGCTCCAGACCCTGGTGGCATCCTGGCACTGGTGATTATGTGATTACTGTCCTGGTTTGTTCAGTGTCCCTTAGTGGCTCCAGGAGGATGAGTCACGTGTCCTCCCCTCCCCCAGGGCACTTTCAGAGAATGGGCAGGCAGTGGGTGCTCAGAGTCCATCTGTTCCCTGGCCTCCCCTCACTAATTCCCTACACGTGCATGTAATTTGAGCACTTACTGCCTTGGACAGCTTGTGAGGGAGGTGGCCAGGTCTGGCCAGTGGGGTGTGCAAGGGATGGCCCCTGGTAACCTCAAAAGGCCAGCCATCATCAGGACTACAGTGAATATTGGGCTGGGGATAGCTGAGAGGAAGCAGAAGTCACTGCATCCGGCTGGACTTCCGGCAGGGACCCCCAGCTGTTTCTCCATCCGGAAAGGAGAGTGAGGGTGGCTGGAAGCTAGAGGACACCTGTCCCAGCCGACAGACTGCTGCGGACGGGGACACCCCCACGTGGATACCCCCGGCCAGGCCCCGCCCTACCTGCTGCGTCCCGCGCCGCGCCCCGCACCCCGCCCGCTGCGACGTGCGTCCACCACCGGAGGCGCCCGCCTGGTCTTCGCAGCGCGGCCGCCCTCACCGCCATCGCCGCCATCTCCGCGGGGCCTCGGCGGCCGGGCTGCCCGCCGCGCTGCCTGCACGGACCCGGGGTGTCCGCCAGGGCACGGTGAGTGCACGTGCGGACGGCGGGGCCCTGCCGGGGAAGGGATCTGACCCAGGAAGAGATCTGACTTGGGCGAGGGGATTCCGACCTTTGGGTAAGAGTCTCTGGACCTCGAGTGAGGGATACGGAAGGGAGGGGTCAGGAATTCGGACCTGGCTGAAGGGATCCGACCTTGGTTAAGGGTCTCTGGACAGGAGTTGGGGAGAGCTACCAGCCCTCCCCAACTGGATTGAAGGAGTGGGGGCTTTGGGCTGGTGTGGCAAGATCCTACTTAGGGATAAGGGTCCACACAGGGGTGGGCCATTCCACTTCCCAGGGGGATCCCTATTCCTAGGGTGGGGCCTGGCTCTGGGGGAGGGGCTTTGACCTTGGTGACTGGGTTGCAGAATCGGTCTGACTCACCATGAAAGGGTCACACTTGGTCTTTGAGCTGGGATTTGATCCTTGGGACTGGGAGAATTGTGGGGGCCCAGGCCCAGCGGGGCTCAGTGATCTCCCCAACAGGTTTCCTCTTGGAGGCCTTAGGGATACTCCCACGCCTTTCCTTTCAGGGGAATGGCTGCTCTACCAAGAAGCGGATGACAGGAGCCCAAGACCCCTCAGGACTGGGTCTGGGTGGTGTGGCCTCATCCTTCTCTCCAGAATGTAGAGAA